CAAATCTCTGTGGGATCGACCCTTGCATGTGCACACTATATTATAGTTGTGATTCGTACACTTGCGAGGATTAAAATTGTTCATCATTATGTTCTCTTCTATCTTCCTCTTCTTGTTAGGGATGGGCATGGGTCGGGTCGGGGCCAGGGACCTCTGTCCTAAGACCCAAGGGGATTCCTCGAATCTGGCCCAATCCCCAAACAGGAAATTTGGAGAATCCTTGGACTCGGCCCGATCCCTTAACGGGGAATTTGGGGAATCCCCGAACTCCCCGCAAAAAATATAAAAAAATATCCAATTTTTTTTTTTTTTAAGTCTCTTAAGTCTTATCAAAGTATCAAAAAAATATGTTTCTTATGAAATGATACATTATGTCTGTTTGATAAATGATATATAATGTCTATATATATATATAGACAGTAAAACCTTTCTAGGTCATAATGGTGGGACTAACTAATTTTATTACTATGAGGAGGTTATAACTTAATAGAGGTGTAGTTACAAAAATTTCTTATTTCATAATTCATGTTTTAATAATACAATATTAGGATTTCAATTTATGTTTTAATAGTATTAGGGTTTCAATTCAGTGCTTTAATTGTCTACTTTTGAAACGGATAGAAGATCGTGTCTTGAAACCAGCAAAGATAAGTGTCTTTGATGGAATTGTAAATGTAGTTGTTGCATGGTCAACTGATATGAAGCCATGGACAATTGCCAATTGTTTTAAGCATTGCAAAATTAAGACCTCCGATGTCAATGAATTACAAATTACAAATGAAGTGGATGAGGAGAATCAAAGAGTCATTGTAGAATTGAGTGATCAGATTCGGCAACTTCACTATATTAATCGAATGGATATTAATGTCTTCATCAATCATCCAAATAAGCAACAATCATGTATGCTTTAATTGAAGAAGAAATCATTGCTATATTTTGACAAGAAGAGATGTTACCAAGAAGCTTTAAACATGTTTGAGAAGCTAGAAATGTTTTGACTTCAACAAAAAAAGTTAATGCCAGGGAGTAATATACCTGCAAGTTAAAAGACGTGGTAACATCTCTAAAGAATAAATCATTGTCCCAAATAACTTTAGATAAATATTTTTATTTCATTTTAAACATTTAATATAATATAACATATTTTTTTTTGCAATATATAGATAATTATTACTATGTGGAGGCAACTTTCCTTAAGACGGGAATTAAAAACATTATAACTTATTACAATGTGGAGTTTATTCTTATTTATAATCCCAAATTGAGAATATAATTTTTTATGACTATGTAGAGTTTATTGCTATATGGAGTATCACTATAGAGAGATTTTACTATATATATATAAAGAGAATTTAAGATAAATTCTAAATAAATAACTACCATAATTTATTATTAATTAATTTAAATGTCTTAATGCATATATATTATGTATTTATGTTATTAACATTTACAAGTTATTTGAATAAAAAATATGTTATTATCTATCAATAATATAAAATATATATTAACATTTAGTCATTTACATATATATCAAGTATAAGTTTTAAGGAGGTTACCAAGTGATTAAAACTTATGCGGAATGAGTTGCTTGTTCAATTTTTAGAGCAAATGAGTTGTGAGAGACATAAACAAAACATACATCAAAACAAGTAAAGAACACACTCATTTTTACATGGTTCGACATCAAGCCTACATCCATGGGATAAAGTCCAGAGAAAGCAACTTCACTATGAAATGCTCATGAGTTCAAATACAAGGCAAGATAACCAAAGTTGAAAAACCACTGTCTGTTTTGTACACGACAACTCTATCTTCTTTGGTTGAACTTCAAGTCCTCACAGCTAGCTTTACGTCACAGCATCACCATGTTGAAATTGAGCTCCTCTCAAGTTTCAACAACGAAGATAGATCTTCAGGACACTAGCTTACACACAAGCACTCATCATCATGGAATCAAGTTCCAAATTCATCACACAAGGTCAAGTGAAGAGGGTAATTTTAAGCCTACCAAAGCATAGCAAGAAACCTTAACCAAAACGAAGACCTCATGGAGTATTCAAAGAGCAGAACAATGGTGATCAGATTTCTTAAAGCAGATGCCAGAAAAGTATGAATATATAGAGTTTAATACGTCAAGGTTTGGGGGACAAAAAGGTTAAATATCAACTTTTGTGTTTTTCTTTTTTAAAAGAAACTTGGAACCACAAACAAAAACAAAATACCTTTTCTCACACAATGAATAGAAGGTGGACAAACGGAAAAACACATAAAAGAATATCAACAAGGAATAATATTATCCAAAAAGCAAAACGGGTGTGTGATGTGTTTTTGAGAAAAATATATGCCATATGCATTATGACCACACAGACTCTAAAGTGCTTACACTGGAGAAGGTGTTTGCCTTTAGAGAGAGTGGCCACATTGGTAGATAAGGTAAAAGATTGTGCAAGACTCAAGACAAGATCATAAGATGACAAAAACACTTACATTAAGTAATTTATATATACATATTTAGCTTATTATATTTAATATAGACAATTTTTCTATTATTATTTATTACCCAATTGTATATGGTTTCACTTAATGTTCCCACAATTATATTATTATAATCACATTTGAATTTGATCAATTAATAATGTGAAACAATTAATTATTAAAGTAGTAATTTCTTGACAAATGTGTTTTTCTTTTACATTAGTAAATTAGTAAATTGTGTCTTGTTACATAATACAATTTATTGTGTCTCTTCATCTTATAATACAATGTATGAATTTTTTGAATATCACATAAAGTTCCTCTTCCTTCTTCTAATTAATTGGTGAATTTAATTTAGAACAATTTTAAATGTTGATTTAAGTAATTAATTTGTTCGTGCATAATTTATAGATTCATTTATCGATTTTCAACTATTCAAATTAATATAGGATTAAATGGTTAAACCTGACTAAATTTTTTAAGTAGGACTATTAATGATAATTAGATGAAATTAGATTCTAATTAAAACGAGAATATATAAATTGCATCAAAATGACATAATATCATGTCATTAAAAAAAATTAAATATAACATCTTTTTGTATCAAATGTTAACAATATTCAAAAGCATCCACAAATTTATATTTATATATATCTCAGGATTGAGGCAGAGCCAATTCAGGGGCGAGCCGGGCCGAGGATGAGACTATCTTCGTCCTCGACTCGGCCCCGAATCAATTCGAGGAATCCCCACCCAATTCGAGCCAGGTCAGGGCGGGTCCCCGATGAGGAAAGGAACATGCCCATCCCTACTTTTGTTTCCTACTTGTCTTTGCAAATTCACACAACATGTTGATATAGAAATCTGTACCAACTAGAGTGATCCGATCGATCTTGGTGGGATCGGTACTGGTGTGTGTGTGATTATAGATAATCTGCAATGAACAAATAATGAATGTAAATATGAGGATGGCACAGAGATTTTTAAAGTGGTTCGGCGGCATAAACTCTTAAGCCTACATCCACTGTTCTTTGTACTTGCTATGTGAGCTTATAGTATAAGTTCTATGAAAATTTTCTAACTCATTTTTCATCATTTTAGGGGATTTATATACAAAGTTTATGCAAAAGGGAAGAGCGAAATTAAAAGGATTACAACTAAATTGAAATGTAACTCCGACATTCTCACGATTGGGCGTTGTGAATGTGCAAGGATTACTGTCAATTTGAACATTCCCAAAATAGCTAGGATCTGAAGTTATCTGGGAATTGGTTGAATGATCATTCGGATTGTTCGTGACTAGCTTGTGCTGGGTCGGACAACCAGTAGAGTCGGACTGATTCTGGGTCGAGCTACTACCTCGCAACTCCCCAAGCTTGGTGGAAAAATCACACACAACACAACCATAAGCTGAATTAGTAAGTAAAAAATTACATAAATATACACTTAACATAAATTTAAGTAACTTTGCGTGGTATTTATACTAACCGGTCTAAGACAAACTTCACTTGGTATGGTGTTAATTCAGTTAGCATGAAAATAATGCTAAGTGTATTTTTGCTATTGTCGTTTCGTGTAAATACCATGCATTTAGCATGAATTTTGATATAAGATAAACTATAGTTTGCATGATCTTATCTCAGTTAGCGACGTTAAATGCATTTTTGCCATTGTCAATTCTCGTAAATCATTATTACTTTAGCATGAATTTTACACTAAATGGTTCTTTATCAGAGTAATATCCAGTTCACACAAAATTACTAAGTAAGAAATGTATATGTGAACTCGTTGAGACATCAATTTCCCAGCAAATCAACCAACACAAACAACACTTCCATTATAGAATCATCAGATTGCTAAAAAAAAAAAAAAAATACACAGTAACAACCTTGGAGGAAGTTTGAAACTAATGTGCATTACGAAATCTTAAACAGCTCAAACAACTCAAAATGTTTTTAAGGCTACTAAAGCAATCAAATATCACTAACCTTCTTGCCCATGTCTAACAACTTTGACTGATGTAACCAAACCGTCATCAAGCAATCAAGCGTGTTCACCTTCTCCTTAAAACGATTAAAACCACCGCTATCACCACTCTAGAACTTTAAAAAGAATTTGTATAACTTCCATGATCTAACCCAATCTAAAACATTGAAGAATTTGAAGGATTGAAACGTGAAGGTCAAAAAAAGGCTTCATTTTTTTTTTTCCTTTTAAACAGGAGAAAAATGAATTGAGTCTCAACTCTCAATGTCTCGTATTTGTACAAGGGTAAAAACGAAAATACATGATCGGGTGCTCAATATGTTTAGGGTTTGAGAAGTTGATTATTTTTGTTTAACCCCTTAATTTGTGGTTAATTTTTAATATTCCCTGAAAGTACACTATTAATTAATTTAATTAATATCCCTAATCGGCTAATCCTAATAAATCAATCATTCTACTCTACTCCCAAACGCAGCCTCACTGTGCAAAGAGAACTAAAGCCCTACGTAACAACTGGCACTGATTGATTTTTATTTATATCGGTGACTTCTTTCTTCCTCCTTTGTTCATCAATAAAAAATGGCGGCTTCATCACTCTCTTTCTCTCCCAAGACCATCACTTCCTCACCCAGACCCAAAACCAATCCGTTTATCAATCATTTCTCGCATTCACTTCAATTTCCCATCGCTTCCTCCACCTCACGCGCCATCTTCACCAGCCCAACCACCTCCATAGTTCCACGGGCCTCTTCCGTAATTTCACGCGCAACTAACGATGCTGCCAGCACAAACACAAACACATTTCACGGCCTCTGCTACGTGGTGGGCGACAACATCGACACTGACCAAATCATCCCCGCCGAGTACCTCACATTAGTCCCGTCCAAGCCCGAGGAATACGAAAAACTCGGCACCTACGCTTTAATCGGTCTCCCTTCGACCTACACCACACGCTTCATTGACGAAAATGAAACCAAAACAAAATACAAAATCGTAATCGGGGGCGATAACTTCGGGTGCGGGTCGTCTCGTGAGCACGCGCCGGTGGCATTGGGAGCGGCTGGAGTTGCGGCGGTTGTTGCGGAGAGCTACGCGAGGATATTTTTCAGGAACTCGGTTGCTACGGGGGAAATTTATCCGTTGGAATCGGAGGGAAGGCTTTGTGAAGAGTGTAGGACGGGTGATGTGGTGACAATTGAGATGGCTGAGAGCCGTCTGATCAATCACACTACTGGGAAGGAGTATAAATTGAAGCCAATTGGTGATGCAGGGCCTGTGATCGATGCTGGAGGAATTTTTGCGTACGCGCGAAAGACCGGAATGATTCCCAGCCAAAATTAAGGTAACTTTTTTAACATTTTAGTTATTGTTTTTGAATTTATGATGTTTTTATAATTAATGAGGATGGCTTCGAGTGTTAGTCTAATATATAATTAGAAATACAATCCTATTTGTGAACATTTTACATGAGAAATGGTCTACTTGAAATTGAAATGAAAAGCCCCGAGAACGTCTCCATTGAGGCTAGTGAAGCGATGTTTGGTTTTCTGGGTATCATGTTAAATTAATTACTCTTCAACAGAGCCCTTTTATTTGAATACTATGACTGGTTTTGTTAATAGTTAGCTTTTTGGGATACATATTAGAAGTTTTATGGGTTATTTTTGGGAAAGTTGGATTGGAGAGATGTGAAATTGATGTTATTTCTTAGGAGCTAAGTTTTTATAGTTTTTGATTTGCTTTTGGGACTTTTAAGATGAATGTTAAGAGATCAGTTATGGTAATTTCTGTTGTTTTGTGAATGATTATAATTTGTTTCTTGGCTGTGTTTTCCGTATTATGAATAATGATATTGGTATAGTATGTTGCTCAAGTCTGATGAGAGTTTGATGTGTTCACAATTATGATAGGAGGAACAAAACGCTGGAAAGGGGGGTGGGGGAAGGGTGGAGTTTGTGTGGTTTTTGAGAGTCTAATCACAGCTTTCATCTATAGATTGAATCATCTATTCTATTATCTTCATGTAATATTTGTATTTCATTATATGTTGATTGGTGAAATGGTTGATTCTTATTGATATATCATTATTCTTATATTAAAATTTTGTTTTATAGCTGGTGTAGTGCTTAGCTTCTTATTTACTTAGAAGCTTTAAGTGCTTTCACACATTTACTGAATCTTAATGGATTCGGACGCTAAATGCTAATGGTGTAATTGTGCAGGTTTTTCCTTTTTATTTTAATTTTTTCTTTTCCTTGAATCAGTAGTAGGGACATTAAGAAATTTCATAATATTTTTTTTCAGAACTAGTGTTGAGGTATGAGCTTTAAGTAATTAATGTTTTAAAATAAAAAAAAATTATTGTCTACTTAATAATAATCAAGTTATTTAGGTAGTTATACCTTCCAATGTAGTTTTGTGCAATATCAGTTGGATGCTTCTATACTCCGTTTACATTTGAAGGCTTCTGAAATTTGGATTCTTGCCTGTTAATTAGATTTACATTGATTTCTGTGTTTTAACTTTTTCTTTCTGCAGGGTATTTCTGCTTGCAGTATGGTATGCAGGTTTCATAGACTAGTGATAGGGTAGATACCAACTCTGTTTTCAGATGCTTGGCATTTAAACCTTTAGAAGAAATAATTACCCTTAAATAGGTGCTGAAATGCTTACTTATCTTCTCTTGTAAGTTGTATCATGACTTGTCTCAGTGATGTTAGGACCTAGAATCTTCTTGGTATTTAGTTGATTCTCGATATTGAGTTATTTTGCTTATGTAAGTGATTGTCGAAACTGATGCTGTTGATCTTTCAGTAATTTATGGGTGTTGAAGTTATGCTTGTGTCGAATTTTGTTTCTATGGTTCTCATCTATTCTAATATTGCACCAAGGATAGCGTGGACGTGGTTGTTTGCGACAGTTGTACTCCTATGTTTGGCTTTATCATTTGCAAGTAGAAAAGATAAGTAAGGATTACAGGTAAACTTCGGTGGATAGGAAAGATGATTAGGTCCACAGGTAAAATTCCAGACGTTAGCAGTCCCTATATCATTTGATTGTATAAATCCATTTTGCTATGGTAAAGTCCTTTCTGTTCACAGTTTTATTTACGAGAGAAACCAAGAAAAAAAATTTCGCAGAAGAAATCATTCAAAATGGAAGCCATTTTCCTCTGGAAAATTTTCTACATCTTTATAACTCTTTAACATTTTCCTACATACTTTAATAATTCTTTTAGAGAAGAATTTTATAGCCAAAGTCATTACAAACTCGTCATAATAATCTACAGAATTTTAAATTTAAAGCAGACCCGTATCTAGCACTTGCCCCAAACGCTAATCAAATCTGGTTATTTTTCTACTTTATATTAAAACTAGACATGGGGTCTGCGCGTTCTGCATATGTTTATTTAATGTTTTTTAAATAGATTCTAAACAAATTTATACAAATAAGATAAAATAATTAGATTAAAATATAATAATTGTTAAATTATATAAATTTTATATATATACAAAGTTGTGTTAAGATAAAATTAATAATTTAATTTGTATAATTATTCATATCAATTGTAGGTAGATGTCATTAAATTATTGATCTAACTTGAGAAGATCACCTGAATATTATATGATCTAATTATATTTTGTAGTGAATTGTGTATGATATATAAGATTACTTGAATATTATCAAGATCAACTATTTAAACTTAAAATTTATACTGATCTTTCGCAATTTATGTAATTTATATTCATTTTCAAGTTACGTTGCACATGTATGTTTATTATATATTGAAGTTCATTTTACATTGAATTGATAATTAAAAAAATTAATAAATAAAATATCCACAAATTGAGCTCAAAGTCTATGGGGGTGTTTTTCTAAGCTTATAAGCTCGTCAAACTAGCTTATAAGCTCTAAAATTAAATTGATCTGTTTGTTTATAACTTTTTTGAATTTATAAGTTGAACTTATAAGCAAAAAAAATGTACTTATAAGCTACATTTTACCAAACACGTCAACTGCATAAGTACTTTAACCAAACACGTAATTGTTTAAAATTTCAAATGCTTATAAGCTAAAATTAGCTTATAAGTGCTTATAAGCTAATTTTCATAAGCTCAGACAAAGACCCCTTATATCATCATGGTTCTTCTCAAATATGTCACAATTTGAAATCTGCAACCAAAGTTTAAAACTTTGTTAAGAAAAGCAAAAAAAATTTTAGGATAACCTACTAGGTATTATTGATAAGTCTATAAATCAATCAGAGAAAGAGAAACCTTGTTGAAAAATGTGAATTTTTAAGCAAGAGAGTTGCAAAGCCAAAGGAAAAAACTGATTTTGATTGTTGAGAAGCGAAAATGAATTATTTTTATTATTATTATTTTAGAAATTAAAAAAAAAAAATTAAGAATGTTAAGAAGAGAACTCACATAGAAAGCAACAACAACTCCAACAGTATAATCTGAAGACAACTTAATTGAAGCATTGAAGAAACCATGAAAATAAAGGTCCTGTGACACAAATCTATTTGTTGCAATCAGAATTGACCACCACCTATAGCAAAAAAAACATTTGATGGCAACATCCTAAAGAGAGACGATAATTGTAAAACCCACAAAACCCACAAATCAAACAACAAAATCAATCCAAAAATCAACAAAAAGAGATACAACAAATACAATTAAAACTACATATCAATATTTGTTTTCCTTTGTCATCACTAAAATTGAATTTGTTTTATGTGTATGATGATAAAATGAATAGTTTGGAAGTATCTTAATTCATCGTATAATATATCAAATTAAATCCCTATCTTTCTAGTTTCCAAAGATTCAAACCGCTCATCAATTGAATTTTTATTGAGCAAGTTATAGCTAATTTACTACTGACTAGGGCTGTATACGAGCTGAACACCATGGTGTTTGAAGCTTGGCTCGTGAAAATTTAGGCAGCTTGAGCTTGAGCTTAGGTTCGTCAAGCTCTGAAAAGTAGGCTCGAAGCTTGGCTTGAGATGATTTACTGGCTTGTCTATTTCTTCCTTTTCCTCTTGAACAAAATTACAGTATTAAAAATCAAAATCAAAAGTCGAGTTTTGTCTGTGCCATCAAAATTACAGTACACCCATCTACCAAAATACCCAACCAAATTTTCACATCAAAATTACATTTATAATCATAAATAAATCACACACAAATAGATCACATCCTTTATCTTCCGTGAACAAAAGATGAACTCAAATCCACCATAAAATAATTTAACAAATTGAACCCATTTGTGGAATTACTACTTTCAATCACTTCAACATGTGAAGCATTTTGCAGAAGAAAATGCAGCTTGGTTAAGGAAGGAGCGAGACAGGAAAGAGAAGAGAAAGGACAAGAAGAAGACGGAAAAGAGAAGGCAAGAAAAAGAAGGAAAATAGAAAAGAGAAAAAGAGAAGGAAAGACAGGAAAGAGAAGAGAGAAGACAAGAAGAGGACAGAAAAGACAAGACAAGAAGAAGAAGGAAAATAGAAAAAAGAAAAAGAGAAGGAGAGAAGGAGAATTGTCGGCTGCTGAAGACCTGAAGTAGAAGACTCTAAGGTTTTTGCATATTGGAATAATTTATATAGTAAATGTTAAATAACATATATCTCCCATACTTGAAAACATTGCACTTATACCCTTTTGAGCCGTTTGTGAGCCTATCGAGTCGAGTACTCGGTGGCTCGGGGCTCGGCTCGATGGATAATCGAGTTGTTCGAGCTCGAGATTGGCTTGACTTTTGTTGAGTAGAGCCAGCTTGACACGAGCTGAGTCGCAAGCTACCCGCAAGTGGCTCGGCTCGCATACAACACTACTACTGACTATTCAGTAGAATCGAGAAACAGGGGAAACCAAAATATTTGTGATAATAAAAGGAATGGTTCGATAGTAAGGCTACAGTTATCTAAATTAAGTGTATAATATATAAAATTAAAGCCCTGTCGTCTAGTTTCTAAAGATTCAAACCTCTCATAAATTGGATTTTTATTGAGCAAGTTATGGTCAATTTACTATTGACTGTTCAGTGGAAACCCAAATGTGTGTGATGATAAAATGAATGGTTCTCCAGTGGGGCTACTGTTATCCAAATTAAGCGTATTATATATCAAATTAAATTGCTATCTATCTAGTTTCTAAATATTCAAACCTCGCATCAATTGGATTTTTATTAAGAAAGTTATGGTGAATTTACTACTGACTGTTCAATAGAAACCGAAATGTGTGTGATGATAAAAGGAATTGTTCGACAGTAGGGCTATAGTTATCCAAATTAAGCGTATAATATATCAAATTAAATCATTGTCTATCAAGTTTTTAAATATTCAAACCTCTTATCAATTGGAGTTTTATTAAGCAAGTTATGATCAATTTACTACTGATTGTTCAGTAGAAACATAAATGTGTTTGATGATAAAATGAATGGTTTACTAAAACTACATGGTTTAGCATCAAACATCAGTTGATACTTGTTAAATAAATGAAATTAGTTATAATCAGCAAAAACCTCTTTTCATGATATATGTATGTAACATAAAAAGATATCAACAAAAAGAGAAAGAACAATTACAATTACAATTACATATCAATATTTGTTTTCTTTTAAGGATAATAATAATGGTTTGGCATATTATAAATGGTTTACTAAAGCTACATGGTTCGACA